ATCATTTCAAGGCGTTTTAAGCAGGTTTTAAAACAAATGGTTTATACTGTTCATGGACATTACGCTGCGGGGTAGAATTCATTCTGGTAAATGCGTGCGTTAAAACGGTTTCTACCTGATACACCTGCTCGTATTACTGACTAAACTCGCTCCTTGTGCTTAAACGGTCAAATACACATAGTTACGTGTCTAAATGCCCGTCTTTGCGAGTATCCTCGTAAACACAGTTATTTGTGTCTTAAATGAATGTTAATATATACAAGACTGGTTTTAAACGTCACTGTTTATAACACATGGTGTTCATCCTTTGCTGGGTCGCTTTAAAAATTTGGGGCATAAATTAAGAGTATACCCACTTCTCCAGGCACCACTACACCACTGGTTTGACACGTGTACAAGCACCCCCACCACCTTACTCCAGTTAAACACCACATTTTAACTGCAATGATACAAATATATCACTGTATACAGGGCTTGACATTAACTTTTTTGCTCACCAGCCACTGTGGCTAGTGGTTTTAAAAAATTTACTAGCCACTCAGCATTTTAACTGGCCACAATTTTGTCATTGGAAAATTATGTTTTATAGGACTAAAGTTACTGCATATTAAAATTTATTTAAATGGATTTCCAGGTCATTTTTTGCCTATTTAAAGGGCATTTTCATTTTTACTTAATATAATAAGACACTATAGGGCTGTTACCAATCAAATATAATCAGTATTACCAAAACTGATCTTTCTCCTGCAGAAGAAACAGAAGCAGCTGAAGTGGCATTTAGATGCATTTACACAGACAGTTTAATGAGGCTGAAATGTAGCATGAATGCAGTTACACTGCAGAATTACAACAGCATAAATAATGTTATGAGTTTGGTGTTTTAAATCAGTTTTTTAAAAATATACAAATATGAAATGTTGGGAAAATGCAAAGATAACCGGCAGTAGGTGGAATCAAGTGACTGTCTTAATGTGTGAGTCATTGAGGCGTTCATTCAAACGATTCTTTCAGACGATTGATTCATTCACGAACGAAGCAAGTGCCTCTCTTTATGAATGGACCACTGAATCTTTGGCTCAAATGATCAATTCAAAAACACTGAATCATTCAGTAACGAAACACCGCTGTGTGTTGCTGCTCAGAGATACGCGACTGTTCTGCTGTGAACTTTGTTTGGAACTATTTTCGTTAACCAAATCAAGCAAAAACAGTCAACATTGACAACATTGTATTAAAATGTAAGTCACTTAATGTCAAGCCCTGACTGTATATGAGAAAACATCAACATTTCAGTTATAAATAAAAAAATAATATTACTTACTACCCTTTTTAGTGAGATGGATGGGCCTGCATGTTTACACACAGATCATCAAAATCATTCTCTCACGCACCCCAGTTTGGGAACCGCTGCTATTGCAGTATATAAATAACTGTTTTCTTGAATCTATTTTTTATTGAAAATAAGAAATGTTTCTTGAAAACCAAATTAGTATATTAGAATGATTTGACTGCTGAAAATTCATTTTTGCTGTCATGGGAATAAATTATATCTTAAAATATATTAAAATGGAAAACTGTTATTTTAAATTGTACTGTTATATTAAACTGTTTTACTGTATTTTTGATTGCATAGATGCAGCCTTGGTGAGCATAAGAGAATTCTATGAAAAACATAAAAAAATGTGAAGTTTCCAGATGTAGCACTGCATGTTTTCATCCACTAAACACTGTCAGGAGAGCGTGCTTTTATTACCTTCAATTTTTGACTATCCGTCAGCCTGTCAGCCTGGGAATACTTTTGGATATAACAGAATTTAAAAAGTAGTGGATATATGCAGGGATAAGTATGATTTGTATTAGGGCTGCACGATATTGGGAAAAACTCACATTGTGATTTTTTTTTTCTTCTGCGATATATAATTGCGATATCGAAAAAAAAAATCAGATGACTTCAATAGCTCTATATTTGGAAAAAAAATTATCAATGATTGGGGTGATTTTGTAGGCGAGTAAATCAGCATAGGAAATAAACAAATTACAAGCATAGATAAATAACAACAAAGATACAAATTAAATAAGCAGTGCTTTATATTTTTCAGGTAAGTATGACAGTATTCAGGTACAGAAATTGAATAATCAAATGTAAAATAACACTGCATAGTTTTCATTATAAATTAAATCTAACAAATCTGTGTTAAAGCTACAAAAGTGATTTTTCTTTATGTTTTGTTGTTTGATTAACGTTCATGACAGAGAAAGCAACAGGAACATTAAATTGCTGTGAACCAATATACTGTTAAACATCCATTTTCTTTCTCAATTGTTTCCCTTCACCTAAGCCATAAGCAACTGCGTTTACAAGGATACTTGCAGAGCACAGTATTTCAGGCACAAATAGACGCAGAAGTGAACAGAATTCAGTGTTCGCTTGCATCTGCGTGGCTCTCACTGTGTCTACACTGGACGCCAGCGGCGCGGCGCGACAAAATACAATAGAATCTATTATAAGTGATTCTGTTTGTCTACACTGGATGCAGCGCGGCGCGGCGCGGCACGACAAATCCCCAACAGTAAACTGATGCCGCGTTCTTTTTATGACGTACTGATACAAAGTTCAAATGATATGTAACGGTCGCTTTGTGTAGTGTAGACAGACTTTGGGGCCGTTCACATGTAGCGCCTAAAAATGCGTGGGAAAACGTCAGTCGCGCCGCTTTCTCCTTCTTTCCAAAGCGCTCGGGAGCTTGCGCTTTCGTAGCGTCTGCCGTTGCTAAGCGACCGTGACCTGCGCTCTCCGTGACGACGCGGAAGTTTCAACAAAGGATAAACGGATTTCCAGCACTGAAAATCGCGTGCAGTAGCTCCACTACTAAATTGATTTAAAATGGGTATCTCTGTACAGCTGTCGCGTCCGGTGTAGACACCGTGTCTGTGTGTGAGCAAAGAAAACAATCAGTATAGATATAACGATCAGTATACTAAACATCGCACATCGTGATATCGATGCTGAAACGATATATCGTGCAGCCCTAATTTGTATGTGTTTGTTTTCTCAATATGAGGCAAAATGATACTAAAGGATATTCTACACTAGAAATGTACTTTTAATGCAAGCCAAGAGAATTACATATTTCAATATCAGCCAACAGTTATGTTCAGAGTGCAGAAAGTGGTTCCGGTGCTTCAATCAACAATAATGTAGTAAGCTATTGTATGCTGCTACAATTCAATTTATTCTTTGTATATTAGATGTGTCAGCACATTTACCCTTTCTCATGGCAAAACAATCATTCATTCTGTGATTTTAGTGTTATTTGTTATTTATATTGTAAGGAAATTAAAGCCACATGTTTCCATTTACATTTGACTTTCTGTTTGCTCGATTTCAGAGTATAACATCAGTGCTCTCGTGACCATAGCAACTAAAACCTTCCTGCGCTATGACAAGCTCCAGGATTTAATTGACAGCATACGACAGTACTATCCAACAGTTACAATAGTGATAGCAGATGACAGTGAGCACCCGAAAACAGTATCAGGTCCATATATTGAACATTACATCATGCCCTTCGGAAAGGTGGGTTACTTTGTTGAGTTGATGATACATTTCTGTGTTTACATGCAGTATGATGAGTTCTGAATATGTATGTCTATATTTCAGGGCTGGTTTGCTGGTCGTAATCTGGCCGTGTCACAGGTCACCACCAAATATGTGCTATGGGTGGATGATGACTTTATTTTTACTGCCAACACAAAGCTGGAGAAGCTGGTGGATGTGCTGGAGAAAACCACACTTGACCTGGTGAGAAAGTCAATGTAGAATGATATACACAGTATATGAGAATTGTTATTCATGCAAGGGTTACAGTGAATATTAGCCATCAAATAAAGACAAAGTAACCAAAACATTATAATTCAGTCTTATCTAGTGAAGAGCCATTGCAGAGACATTATAGCCTATATGTTGAGTGGATCAGGTGCACATCAAACACAAGCCCCTTGAGGACTTTTTCCATTGCACAGGAAACAAGGTGTCTTTTCAGGTCCCTCTTGTGGTGAGGAACTTACACCTTTGGAACCACCACAGTCCCCAGTTAAACCTTTAATCAAGAAGGCACCGTCCTACCTCACAATATCCACAGCAGCAGGCTCAGTCTCTTTTAATTAAAAATCTCAAGTGGTAGAGGAGTTAGGCATCATGTTATTCTTTAACAATGCTTTTAGAAAAATGACTCTCTATCTCTTTTTACTGTATATCCAGTGGCACCAAAATATAACTGCACATCTACGTCACACTTAAATTATATGAATGATACTGAATCATATAACAAAATATCACACAAAGAGGCATTTATATAAAGAAATAGAGCCCAAAGATAGATGGGTCAAAAATATATTTGGATGCTTTCTGGTTGTTTGTGTGTTATGTTCATGATTAATGTCGTGAACTAGATCTGCAGTTATTTTTCTAGGACACCTGTGCGAATATAAAGGGAACTGTCTTCAAACACCTGTTAGAATCACTAGTTGGTTAAAAATAATAAGATAGTTCTAGGGCTGTGTAATTAAAGAAAATAATAAATAAAATAAAAAAATAATAATATCGCCATAAAATGTATGTCAATAAATGAAATTTTGACTCAATATGGATTAATCTAACAGCCTATCACACAACAGAAATAAACGCAACAACAGCCAGTCAATGCATGTTGTTGTCAGGGCTCTCGTGTGAGATAGGCGAACATGGAGTAGAATTAAATATCCTTTAATTATAATCCCAGGAGTAGAGGGAGATCCAAAAACACATAAGGAGACACAAGAAGCACACATAACAATAAACAATAACCGGCCAGTAAGAACTGAAAGGGAGCAACTTAAATACACAGACCAAATAATTATCGAACATAGGTGAACAGAATGAACTAATCAAGGGAACTAAGGAAAACTAGGGGTGCGTCTCAATCAGCTCCCTAGCTCCCGAGCTCGTGAATCAGTAGATCGTGTACACGAATTTGGTCACTGGTAAGTTCCCTGACTCACTGCATGTTGGGACAGTGATCACTCGAATTCCAGTGACATGATTACGTACAATGTCAACGGACAACATAGTAGAACGTCATCACTGGAATTAATAAACAACAGGCAGGACCAATCTAATTTTTATATTATTTTTTATTCTCTTTAAACACATCGTTCTGTTACATGTTCTTACAACATTTCAGCCGAATATTAATTATAAATGTTAATTAGATGTGTTCAGTTCCTGTCTAGCGATGTGTGTTTATATTGAAATATACTAAAAACGGTTTTGTCTTTTCAAATCTTCTATCGTGTATCATTATATTAATCGAATTGGCTCGTGTGGTTTATGTTTCACGCTTCAGAAATGTGACGTTATTTCCGGTAAGGGCGCATAGTGAGCGCTGATGCTCCCTAGTTTTTTCAGTGCATTGTGGGATTTTTCAGGGAGCGAATGTTCCAGTGCACTGGAAGGATTTCGCAATTGAGACAGCCCTTAAAATGGCCGACTCCCTGATCAGTGCCCTGACTACTGAACAAGGGAGCTGATTGAGACGCACCCCTGGTCAAGAAACAAAACAGGAGAACAGAAACAAGGTCCATATTGTGACAACTCCCCCCTCCCGGAAGGCGCAGCCTCGCGCCGTAGATGGACCAACAGTGGAGGGAGATGGACCAACAGATGACCAGGGTGGATCTGATGGAGGGAGGAGCCAAGGAGGAGACAGGAGGGACCATGGCGGATCAGATGGAGGGAGGAGCCAGGGAGAAGACAGGAGAGAGCCGGAGCAGGAGGAGCCAGGCGGGACCCAGACCGCAGCCAGGAAGGCAGCCCATGGTGGAGCCAATGGAGGGAGGAGCCATGGTGGTGGAAGGGCTGACGACTCCAGAGGGCTGACTGACAGCGGCGGTGCAGGTGGGAGAGGACCCCAGGGTGGAGACGGAGAGCCGCAGAGCTAGGGCGACGAGGAGGAACCGGAGGGCCAAGGCGGAGCAGATGGCTCAGGCGACCGAGGCATAGGCAGGGATCCGGAAGGCCGCAGTGGAGCTGGAGCGACAGAGGACCAAGGTGGAGCTGGAGGGAGGGAGAAGCCCAATGGAGCCAGAAGGAAGAAGGGACGAGGTGAAGCCAGAGGAGTGTAGTCCCGTGAAGAGGGCAGGTCGACGACCGACCTAGGCAGAGCCGGAGGGACGAAGGAGCCCAGCGGAGCTGGTGGAC